ATTCAAGTTATCAATTTATTTTTCAAGTTGAAGAACTGGCTATATTTTACATTAAAAACGCTGAATGTTATAAACCCTAACGATTCATTTAATTGCATTTCGGTCAATTGGTTAATCATACCAATGTATACACAAATAAGTATCTAAAATATTTGTTTACTTATGATTAATTAAAAGTAAACCTTTTTATGCTTTCAGTAAAATATGAAAAATTAAGCAATGGTAACATACAGGGTGTTCGACAACTAGTGGGAAAAATTGTAGGGGTGATTCTTTGCAGCAAAATAAGACGAAAATAAAGAATAACGAAATTGCGAAAAATGCTTCGTTTTTTAGTTATAAGCGCTTAAAAATTGACTCAAATCATGGCAATCCGCGCGCACTGAGTGTCCGCGGTTCACGGTTCATCCGGGGCGTACAGTCACTTAAAAGACTCAACGACGTGCAGGAAAAGTCGGTAGAACAGCTGTCTACTTACCCCGTAGGAGATGTCGATAACTTGTGCCCGCGGTATTTGAGTCGAATCCACTTGTATCGCATTAACACTGATTACTCGATAAAATTCGCAAGGATTGTAATTATCTTCTTACTATATACACTAGTTGTCACGTATAACAATTGTCCTGTCCACGAGTATCCATGAAATTAATCCGCACATGCACGTACACCACAGAAATCCGCGAAAAGTGTCCACACACACTGCGCGATTGTTCCGACCGCGAAAAATGTTCACACACTGCGCGATCAATTACACCCGCGAGCGGTTCCTCCGTTGGGTTTAACACTTACACAAAACTAACACTCAAAATAATTAATTTATAACTATTTAACAATAATTTTTAACCTACCCTAATTAATTTATAACATCTATTTATACTAATTTTTAACATGCAATAATTAATAAAACCTGCAATATTTACTAAAACCTACAATAATTAATAAAATCTACAATAATTAATTTGCATTATTTATAACGATGACGTACGCGACACTACTAAATAATCACTACGTAATCGTTAAATAAGCTAAAACTTAGTTTTGCGGACATGAACTCTATTTGCTCGTAGAATGCAAAGGGCACCATTCGGAAAGGACAACTGATATTGTTGAACTGATCCTCTCTCGTTAGGATCGATGTGGCGTAATAGGTCATGGTCAATACTTTTTTGGAAGGAAAAACTGCATGGGAAAGTGTCTTGGAGGTCGCGTTTCTTTTCGTACATTCTTAGAGCAACATCTGTATCTTTTTCTCATACACCATTCGGGGCCACTTGGCCACAATGCCGCAGGAGAAAACGCTCGCGGGTCTAATTAATCGCGCAGTGTGCGAACATTTTTCGCTGTCGGAACAATCGCGCAGTGTGTGTGGACACTTTTCTCGGACTTCTGTGGTGTACGTGCATGTGCGGATTAATTTCATGGATACTCGTGGACAGGGCAATTGTTATACGTGATAACTAGAGTATATAGTAAGAAGATATTTACATTCCTTGCGAATTTTATCGAGTGATCAGAGTTAATGCGATACAAGTGGATTCGACTCAAATACCGCGGGCACAAGTTATCGACATCTTCTACGGGGTAAGTAGACAGCTGTTCTACCGACTTTTCCTGCACATCGTTGAGTCTTTAAAGTGATTTAAGAGAGTATTTGGGTCAATTTTTAAACGCGTATGACTAATAAACGAAGCATTTGTCGCAATTTCGTTATTCTTGATTTTCGTCTTATTTTGCCTCAAAGAATCACCCCTTAAATGTTTTCCCACTAGTTGTCGAACACCCTGTATATGTATATATTCACACGCCTATCGAAAGTATTATAGTTTTGTCCAAGCAGGCAGTTTAAAATCGTACGTAGTAAAATTAAGTACCTAGTCTAATACTTCGGCAAAAAAATTAAAAATAAATTAGTGACTGCGGAAAAGCATAATTTTCCAAATGACGCCGGTGGAACAGTTCATATAGGAATGACGCAAAACTTTTGTGGTGTATGAAATGCCACGCGTATGACGAAAGATTTACGATCGTTTTTATTGTTACGAATGTGTTAAAATTTCTACCGTGATATTCTAATAAGGGAAATGAAACCACAAATTGCTCTGACAGTATTTTAATACGATTCCGGTGTTCTCATTAAAAATTCAGCCAGTTTCACGCGACGCTACCGAACTCACTTCTCATTCTGCGATTTACCTAAAACACGAATGTTGCCCAAGTGGGCTCCCGTTTAAACTCGACCCGCGCTCTAATCTCTCGGTTACATTCGCCTGGGTAGCTGTGTGTGTAACGAAGATTTTGATAGAAGTTACCGTCAGATTCGCGGAACAACATGTACTCAGGCTTCCTTCCCTCATACTATCTCTAGCGGTCGTTATTGCGTTTAAGGCAGGGAACAGAAATGCTGCTCTACGAGTTGAAGCTAATTGTGATAAATTGAGGAAAATAAGCTAACCAGACCTAAGAAAACTACTAATCAGTATAATAAGACGGTGGATCCGCTGTGTTCGATAGAGGCACAAGTTACACAACTTGCTAGTTAATCCTCCTAAGTAAATGAAAGCTTATAAAATGTTGTTGATTGGGCATTTCTTGTCCTTATACTTTAAACAAAAGAAGTGAATATTAAATGATACTGAATATAAATATTTTAATACCACGATATCTTAAGAAGGTGGGAGAGTTTCCTTTTGAAAATGTATTAAGAATGTTTAACAAAAATCCAGTTGTTGTAATAGTTTACAGTTTTGCGTAAGAATGAATAATTCTTGATTTAATTCTTAAATTAAAAATGATGTTTTATGAGTTAGTTTACAAAAATATAAATTTCTCTAACACCTTGTGTACTGATTGGGTTTCAATTGTCTATCGAGACTATCATATACAATTGATAAAATAATATGCCCACTTTTATCATTGAGAGATGATTATTATTATAATCGAGTCGAGATTATTACAATAATCCTTACATTATGAATTTTAACACTAATCATAATTGTTAAGAGGTAATCAGTAAAATACTGTCGTTGCAGTCCTTGTGTGCCTTTATGTATAAGTGTATAAAAGGAACGTGAATACAATAAGCCTTGTGCACGTACAGTTATTTTTGTATTTTACTTTAGCATTATATTAATTAATTAGATTTTGATAAAATGTTTCTTAGCTCCATTGTGTTTCCAAATTAACTCATTCAAATAAAACGTTTGCATTAACAAATTTATTTCTCAGTTTTAACTGATATTATACTCAAAGAAACCTTTTCCCAGTGGCTATGCGAGAGATTGCATAAATATGTGTCACGTGAGGGGAATATCACTCCTCCTGTAGGTACGTGCACTATTTGTTCTGATGATGTGTGCACTTGTGCAGAAATGGGAAGTATAACAAAAACGAAAAAGCACATTTCCTTGCTCAATGAAATATAATATTTTACTGACGTAATTTGATACAAACTTTCAAGCTAGAATAAATTACAGTACTAAATTTTCAAAAGCAGCGTCTTCCTTGTTAATCTAAGAAATGGAATATACACTTCGTTTCTGAACAAAACATTTATTAACTCAGCAAAGTCGAATGAGAATGGAACAATCATCTAATTAGAGTCATAAAATCATGTAATCAGAAGTTTTATTACGATTAAGGAGAATAAGTTATTTCAGTCTGGCACACGGTTTTGCGCTAAAATCGCGATTACAAGCAACATGCAACAGAAACTTAGATCATAGTTTAACATGAAAATAGTAAAATAATCTAAATTTCAATAACGATTATAAAACACAGATACGTGACACTGAAGGTATTATGAACAACAAAATACAATGTATATAAAAAAGACAATTATGTGCTACACTTATTAAGGGAGCCTCAATTATTGGGTAAATCGCAATTCCAATTTCTTGAATTCTTCGGCAAAATATACGGGGTGTTAATAGAAATGTCAAACATTTTCACAGGGCAGCTTCTACATGCCAAACTACGACGAAAATAAAGAATAAAGTAATTGAGTTCGGGGCTTGGTTTCGAAGTTATTACATGTTGAATATGCGCGTGAAATGTCGGATGAAATAAGTTTGATGCTACCGACCTTTCTACTTGAGAGGCGCACTACTCAGCTGTTTCACGAGCTCGGTCGGTAACTGTCAGTAGCGTAGCCGTCAATCTATCCCTGTTCATCTCGCAACCGAAGTGATGACATACGATGCCTCGTGGTGCCGCAATTATTTTTTCTTAAACTTTCTGGGACATCCAATACGAATGTATGGACGATATTAAACCTGTTTACTCGTTGAAATCCACAAGGGTTTATCACCAGTTACTGTATGTCGCCACTACATCTGCGATGTAAATGTATCTTTTTTGGTACTACGACAGTGAAGGTTATCGACCACGCTCGTATACAGATGGCAAGCAGCGGTTCAAGTAGTATAATCCATCGCGACAGGCATATTTTTCTCTTATTTCGCCCGTAATTTCAAAATCAAATAACTCATAAACGGAGCCCCGAACGCAATTCATTCCTAATTTTTGTCTTAATTTGTTGTGTAGGATTATAACATCCATCCTGTGAAAATGCCCCACATTTCTATTAACACTCTGTATACAGGGTGTTCCAGAATAGTTTTGACTCCCGGAAATGAGGGGTTCCCGGGATGATTAGAAACCACTTTTCTCTTAATAAAAATGTTACTCAAGGCTTTATTAACGAGATATTGACAAAAAACCCTGACCAATCGCAGCGCGTAGCTAACGCTACCGCGGGAACTCGGCCGGCAGACTCTCGCTTTGATTGGTTAGGGTTTTTCGTCAATACCTCGTTAACAAAGCCTCGGGTAACATTTTTGCTAAGCAAAGAGTAGTTTCTAATCATTTCAGGAGCCCCTTATTTCTGGGAGTCGAAGCTATTCTGGGACAACCTGTATAAATGTAAGTTAAGATGATGTGAATTATAATCTGTTCACAAAGTACTCACAGACTTAAATATTGCATGGCGTAAAATTCTGAAGGTAGCGGCGCCACCTGGGGACGAGCTAGCCGAGGCCATGGCAGAGATCGCGGGGGCGGCGCGAACCTACTCGGTTCAGGCGTCGCCCCCGCGAATTACGCTTCAGGACTGGGTGTAGCGCCTGAGCTACGAGAAGTCGTGAATATCCTTGGCGAAAGGAACCAAGTCGGTACGCTAACTGGTGTGGGACCACCACCGGGAGCCCTGGACGACGTCGATCAAGGGGACGAGGAGGAAGGCACCTCTACAAAGAGACCACCAAGACCTCTCTACAGGAGGCTGATTAATTACGTTCGGCAGGCTTGGACCGGCGTAAAATTCGCTCTAGGTATTGTGCCTCTCCGTTGTTGATAATACAAGGTGTACAAATTAATTAGTGGCTCCCCCAATTAATGATTGACTCAAAACCCACCATCATTTTTTCGAAAGGGGATGCGCCAAATGCTCGAGAAATTACGTAAATGTGTGGACAGTGGTGGGGAATATTTTCAAAACTAGACTGTATTCTGGTTTTTTTGTAAATAAATAACATATCTATGATGAAAAGGCTACGAATTAATTTGTACGCAACTGCAAGATGAGTCATGCCATGGTATAACCAAAAACAATGTGATTCCTCGTGCAAAATTACTTTTAGAATATTATGAAACTTTTTCGTCTGTGGCTTCATTTGGTAGAAAATGGTCTCTGAAGATTTATCTAATGTCTATACACTTGTGCTTCCTTCTTCTTTTTCTTAATTCTGTATCAGGAATCACATCCTATGAAGTTGCATCACAGTTTCGGATACATCGTGTAAATTGATATTGTGGAAAATTGCATAACCAAGGTGATATGTGAAATTGTAGGCAGAGTTTTTATTTCAAAAACCTTGATTTATTTTCATAAATCAAATTCGTACATATAAATACATTATTTGAGAACACAAAGTACCTATATCTCGGTGCAATATAATTCGTATGTTTCATTCCAGCTACGGTTAGTTGTACTAAGATTTAGAAGACATCCTGGTATTGAAAAGCTTTTCAGGTACTTGAGTTAAACATACTCTTGAATCATGAATAAATGATTAAAATTTATCAAATTAATTCAATGAAAAATGTTTGTTTTGATAAATCTGATAACATGTGCTTAATATTTAACAATATTAAATAACAGTTTGTTAGTATAACGTAATTATTGTTACTTGTAACCATACGTGTAATTATGACTATTCCATCTACCGTTATCTATAGTATCAAAACTCTACCTAATCTGAGCAGGCAACATACAATTTGCATTAGAAAACTCTCAGACCATTCACTATTATACACGTATAAGTATAGATCGCTTATAATCAGTAGTTATAGTATATTTCAGGAAGCGTGCCCACCTTATTAAAGTTCTAATAATAAAATGACTGTCGATAAACAAAACATTTAACTCGTAGGAAATCAAAATTAGAGAAGTTAACGCATCGCATAAAAATTTCATTACAATTTCTTCTATTGTAATAAAATATGCCTTACGTATTTAGAAATTTAAGAAGTACGTATTTGATGATAGCGTCTTGCATATCATGATGATTTTGTGTTCCTTTTACTGAAGATCTGATTCAAATTGAACATATCAGTATGTTAAAAAGCGTATAAATAGATTAAGAAAGTGCACAGCAAATAAAATTATTTATCGTGAAGAAAAGATTATTTTCAAAAACGTACGCAATTTTTAAACAATTTTTACGTATGCATACATATGAATTTTATTTTCCAATTTAAACGGGTCATATTCGTACAACAGGCACTTTAATTATGAGAAAGCTGATAAAAATTTGAAAATTTTATTTTTAAAAGTAAAGATCTCTAGTATTTCATTTAATTTCAACTAATACAATGCTTTATTACTTTCAATATCGTATCTGTGTCGTTTTATAACTTAGAAAACAGGTTCCTACAACCTTTAGACGTATTTGAAGTAATTTAATCTCTGAAAGTATTTTTATAAACGACATTTGCGAACACGTGAAAAATTTCGTTGAATTGAAACAAAATGAGTAACATCTGTATAGTATAAATGTACATTGCATCTTATTATTATTAAATTAAATGCCAAAAGTGGTTTGTAACGTACATAAATCATGTAACATTCCAACCTCCTGAGGAGGAGTAAATCATTCATAAAGGGATGATTATTGATAGTAGTTATACTGTTTAATCAGTTTACAAAATTTCGGAGTAGAATGTTGATCCGTATGAATTCATTTACTTTCACGTACAGCATTAAAGGGATAGCACACACACACACACACGGGCTAAATGCAAGGGCTTAAATCGTAGTGGATAAATTCGGGTTCGCAAATCAAGTGGAATAAACCCCACATCGGATGCACGCTTCCCAAAGTTCATGCCAATTCATTGCATGCTCTATCGCATCTTCCAGCTGCATCCCCTCAAGTGGCCAGAGCACATTTTCCTGAAACGTGTGAGTCTCATGAGCTTCCGTTGCATTCGAGTTTGTTCCACAGCGGCTCACCTGTTTCAACGTGCATGTATGTATGTTGCATGATCCTCGTATGGTTCTTCATACGTACGTGCCCATTCGCCACTCTTCTACGTCTTCTAAGGGTCATTGTGTTCGACTCGCCTCCAATCGTTCTTTTCCCGATACTTCGCCCAGCGACTATCACGGTTCATTTTCTTTGCCCCTTTTCTCGCTATCGTGCCAGGGCGATACCGGCACCGCAGCGATCTCGACATAGGGGCAGACCGACACCTAGTCACTTCTGATACATACCAGAATTTTCATTGTACAAGGTGTTAATTTTCCGAGGACGGGAAGATTTTCTCATGACTTTTTATATTTTCAAGTTGGAACTTTTATATATTTATCATAGTGCTATATTACGACAAATAACAGATCTATCTAGAGCCCAAAAATAGGCTTTCCCGTTCTCTACAGGTTAATAAAAATGTAGGGCACTTTCGTTACACCAGAGAATTAAAAATCTTGTGTGCCTTTTGTAGTCCACCTAGCTCTTATTAAAAGTGAAATACCGTAGATGTTTAACAAAGTTGGTAAAGGTGGCGATTCTGTATCAAATAACAAATTAGAAGAAAACAAACATGATTACTGTTACTTGATTTTGTTAGTACCAGTACCCTTCATGAATAAATTTCTTCTGCCAAAGACAATTGTATTTTTTGAGTAATTTTACGGTTCAATATACGGGTCATTCCACGCTAAGCGGATCACTTTTGTACATGATATCTGGGATGTTGGTAAATTTGAAATATGTTATAGTCCGTATGAAAATAGGAAGGGTACTTAAGTCATCATTTTGCTGGTTTCGAAATTGTTTAAAAAATACAGACCTTTAAAGCTATCAGTTTTCACCGAGTTTTACGAAAACTGCATTAACAAAAGAACGTTTTCCCCCGCAACTATTGAAGATACACATTCTTCACTTTAACCCTTTGCACTCGGATTTTTAATTTTCCATACATTTTGTCCCTTCAGAAGAGACAGTCGAGTGCAAAGGGTTAATCGTAAAGGATCATTGTTGTTTTATTCTAATTCGTCATTTGATACAATATATTTTCCAACTTTGATGCCCTGTATCGTGGCTAAATAAAAAAACGAGCACCTACGGTTTTTCACTTTTAATAAGGACTACGTGGATTACAAAACGCACACAAGATTTTTCATTTTCCGGTGTAACAGTACAAAACGTTCTCTTATAATACGAAAATCAAAAATGATGAAATTGCTTTCCGAATTGTTACTTGAAAATATGGGATAGACACGCGCCGAATATGTCTGGCGCGATGGGTTATACTACTTGAACAGGCTTGGTCAATATGACCGAATAAAACGAATGAATGAAGTAACGTGAAGCGAATGAAACCAACGCGTGAAATAATTGAAGAGCCCGTATCTCAAGTAAAATAACCCGTCGCGTCAGACATACTTTACACGTATTCCTCTCTCGTATTTTCAACAATTAATAACTGGGAACCGAAGCCTCGATGCAATTTCGTAACTGGGTCATTCCACCCGAAGTCGAACACTTTCTGGAGTAACACTTCGGATTTCGTTGAAACTTGCATATGTTATACTTTCTAGTGATATATAAACGTATCTCGAAGGATTGTTGAAAATTTTAAATTATTCATTTTACAGCAGTTTGAAATATATTGTCAACCTTTCTTCGATAAATGATAACTATTTAACTAACAAACTGATAATAATGAGCTATGCGAGTACTTACAGTGGAGACATAAGCGTACCTAATAAAATTATTTCGGTTAAACCAAATATTTTTTAACCATTTATTTATAAATGTAGTTTTACCTTTTTACAAAATAAATCTATCTTGTTTTCGAAAAAGTGGAAAATCGGAATCCTAGCTGTACAGGAAAAAAATTTATTTTACAATTTCGACTCATTGTTGCAAGTTAAAACAAGTTTACTCATGACTAGATTGCGGATTTTATGCATTTATAGCCAATAGGGCTTTGTGTAATACAAGAGAGAAAAAACTTGCGTCAGACGCAATGTATTTTCTATTGTATTCTGAACCCCATAAGATACTTAACGGAAGAAATAAATTCTTACCTTTGCTGTTGTCATAAAAAATTTCTTTAGAAAATGTCATTTGGTATAATAATGTGCATTCTACTCATGACATATTTGAGGTTTATAGAAGCAGAATTCGGTTTTCAATATAGGAAAAGCTGTTTCATCTAATAAGATTAAAATTGAGCAAAGAGAAAATTACGTACTTCTTTTAAAAGACGAATTATTGTTTATATGATATAATTATTATTATTCTATTATCTTCCACTATCGTCTTAATCGACACAGATTGTACTGCAACCTTATATATTTCTTATATGCTTCCCTTATTTATGCAACCCTCTGGTGGTTAACCAATAGCGGAATGACATATCCTCCGACACTAGGGACTTAGGTTTCTAAGCGTACGTCATGAAAATTCATATAATCGATATGCATCATCCCTACTTTTTATGTTTCCTGTAACGAATTTACGAGAAAAATATTTAAAACCTGACAAAATATACAGAGATGGAAGCGTATAAACAGAAGGAGAACGGTTCTAAAATCTTGTAACGTTAAAATAGCAAACTTTAATAAAAATTTGAATTTGCTACCTATAGAAAAGACAATTACTCCTTATTTTTATAATTAATGTTTGTATCAACAAGAACATAAAGAAGTGTGATTAATGAAGTGTACATAATCATGTCCTGTATAAAAATAGACAATATTATAGGCGTCGGGAACGAAACTGATCATCCGAAACATTAAGGGTAGGAGAGTCGCTGTCAT